AAAAACAAAAAGGGGGGGAAGGGGTAATTAAGAGCACCCCGCAAAAGGCAAGCTAATGGAAGATAACTCCCCGCTACAAACAAACAGAAAAGAAAAGAGAGAAAGAAAGAGAAAGAGACAGTAAGAAAGAAGACTGCGAAGACAAAAGAAACCAGAAGTATGGGGGGATGGGACAAAGAGGAGAGAAAGGGGGGGAAAAAGCTACAAGAAAGCAAGAAAAGAATGAGAAAGCGAGATAAACAGAGGCTAGAGACCTTTAGACAGGTGGCAGTGAGAAAAGAAAAGAGATAGGAAGCCGAGGCGTCTTACGCTCAGGATCGCCCCATGCAGCTCCAAGCGAGCCTGGTCCAGTGCGTCCAAAGCAGAAGGAAGGTTACAGAATACTGACATTTCAAAAACAAATGGCTTCTGCATGAACAGGTACTGAAAGAAATGTTTTGTTTTGCGTCAAAAATAACAGCGGTATTCTTAAAAATACTGTTAGGGCCAAACTAAAACCCAGGCAGATTACTATTGTGAAAAAATACCTCATCTGCTTCGTTTTAATACAGTAGCAAATATACTGCCTGGTTTGGCTTAATGCCAGAATTAATTTTAAATTGGACCTCATAAATATTTCATGAGGTCCAATTTAATGGGATTGCTTTTCCTGGCATTAAGCCTGTGTGGATAGCATTTTAAACAGTTATGGGGTTTGTTTGTTTTTTACAGAACTCTAAGAAAAAAAATCTTCTGGTATCAATAGACTTATTAATAAATTGCTTAAAACAACGACCGTATATTTTAAGAGTATTTTGACACAATTCTTATAAAGAATTGTTGAATTCTCTTTAGATGTTTTTTTTCAGTCTGGTGCTTTGCACTGTCATAAAAACTATTAACATGAAAAATGCTAATCTTTATCAACCCAATAACAAAAAAGAGCACAAGGAGAAACAAATGACAGATGTAGGTCAGTTTTGACCACCAAGGTTGGCTTTAAGAGTGAGCAACCAAAGAACTTGCCCAGGGTCTAGGCCAAGGGTGCTTTCACTACGTTAACTTAATGCAACCATCTAATGTGTGGATGGGAAGAACCCAAGGCTTGGTCCCTGCCTAGAGCCAAAAGAATATAGCACTGACTCTGTTGATCACAATACATGGCCAGGTTCTCAGGTGAGTGTTGCCACATTGGCTTCAATGTTAGCATTCCAATTTATAGCGGGAGGGGATCTGGGGCATTTTTTTGCTGAAGCAAATTAATTCAGAAGCAAACATTATGACATTTCATCACAGAACTGAACTGTCATGAACTGAGTAAGAACATATAATTAACATAAATAAAAAAGCTGAGCATTTAAAGCCTTAGATTTTTTATCTGCACAAGCTGACATAGAATACTTCTGGGCACCATTCCCCCTGTCAGCTCTCACTGCAGGTACACATATCAGCTGACCAGAGGGCTAATAATGTTTTGAAACAAGAAAGGCTGCAGATGTGTAAGATATATAGAAAGAAGGATACCTAACAGGACTCCTTGTTCATTAGGTGTCATGTTGATGTGTGACCCCTGCTAGAAGTGATATTAATGGTACAAAGTTTTAATACTGTACATGTGGATTTGATCTGGTCAGGTCTGGTTGCTTCAACGTGGGTGGGTGCACAGTGTAGTAAAGGGCACATTCCACAATGGCCACTTCCCAGAGAGTTTGTAGCAGCAGCAGCACCAACTGGGATGGCACAGACCACTCTACACCAGTAGCAGTTGGGGACTTTGAGTCCCCAGGGCAGGTAAAACTGACCTCCCCACCCTCTACTCTCTGGCACTTGTGTCTTTACACATTCTCTAGAGCAAGGGAGGGGCACTTCAGATAGAGCTGCTCTTGGGAGCCGATCTAATTAAAATGCACACAGAGTCGCATTTATTCAGCGTCCTGCACTTCAAAATGGTGGCAGGGGGACTTCAACTAAAGTTCGCCAACGAGCTTTAGTTAACGTGCCCCTGCCACCATCTTAAAGTGCAGGACACTGAATATACGTGATGCGGAGGCTGCTGGCACGTGCTAATTAGCATGCTCCAACAGACTCAATTAATGAAGTCTGCTCCAATGCGTGCTAATTAGCGCGCATTGGAGCAGGCATCCAGCACATGTATAAGTGCTGATGTCTCTCCCCGCCCCACCCTCAACCCAGCAGGGTTTTGTCCAGGGCACAAAACCTGGCAGTTATATCTCTGCCCCTTGCACAGAGGCCATCAATCCATCAATACAAAGGAACTGCAAAGTAAAATAGCCTTTCATGACTCAAAGGCTACATTGCTAGGCAGGGGGTTCTGCACCTCTAAATACGAGGTGTACCCGTATGTGCCATTCCTTACACAATCCAATCAAAAGGCCCACAGGCAGGCCATGTAGCTCACCACGCTGTAAGTGCTGTGACTCAGGCCACTGGAGTAGCTCCAAATCTCCCTTTCTTGACTGTAGCTGGAAGCCACAAGACTTCATTCATCTAAGAAAAACTAAATAGCATTACAGCAAGGAGCAGCTGCACATCTGACCTTCTCAACTGAGGTGCCCTTTTGACAGGTGCATGACGCACAGCAGGATAGTGGGAAACAAGCAAACAGAAATACAGATCCCAAATACAGGAAGGATACAGAAAAATACAACTCAAAGGTCAAATGAAGAAAAGAGCATCCCATGTTGACGTGGTTGGGAAGACCCATCAGCATAATATATTTCTCTCCCACTGATGGTGGAAAATGTCGTGTGCTCTGTTTGAATATATGTTGGGATATCATTCTATCACATCACAATGCAGAGTACATGTCTTTCCCTTTAACCACAAGAAGATGCGTTTCCAGCTAATTTCCCATATCTATTATTTTAAGTATGAGTTTCTAAGGAACAGAAAGTTGGCTTCAGTATTCACTTTTAAATGAACAAATTTGTGCAATTATAAAAGCCTTTAAACAGAAACAATATGCAACAGCTCAGGACAAAACACAAAGAATAGTTCATCTAAATAATGAAACTATAAGCGAATTTTAGATAGGCAGCATGTAATTAGCCAACTGGAATTTAGCCAGGACACCACAGCTAACACCTCTGTTATCTTCAATCAACACCCATTTAATATTATAAAGTTTTTTTTAAATTAGAGTGATAATTGAAGAAAATATATCCCTACTTTACTGCTCTGATTTTTCATCATTCAAGAGCTACAGTAATACTGGATTTCTGAAGAAAAAAAGAAGTGGTGACTGCTAAATGTTAAATGATACGCTGAATAGCAATCTGTGTACCTTCTAATAGCTCTGCTGCTTTCAGCTTTTGGCTGGCTAATAGTAAATCCCTTCATGCCCATAACTGATATGTGAAAGCAGCTGCAGTATGCATTCACCCCAGATTATGTCCTTGTGGGATGCTGAGTACCTTCAACTCCCCCTGGAGTCAGTGGGATGTGAAGACACCCATAGGATGAGGCCCTGCAAGAGCTCATGCATGCACTGGTATTGGTCCATCTTACTTATCCATGCCCATGTTACTTCTGAATTCGGTGAAACAAACCCATCCCTCAGGCATAAAAGATCCATATCAAGACTGCACAAAGCCTATGTATTTTTCCCCCACAATTCAAAAAGCCAAGTGATTAAAAAAAAACAACCCAATCACAGGAAGTTCATGACTCACAGACAACCATTTCAAATAGAGGCATCCCACCTTACACAAAGCAGCACTATGGAATAAAACTTTGAGTGAGCCTCCCCTGTTTAGCAGTGTTGATAGCAAGATTAATTATCCTTCTGTTGAGATGCAGAAGCTGCCACAATGATGTGTCACCACCACTTACCAAGCAAGGTCTTATTCATCACAAGTGACAAGACTGCAGAGAAGTGAAATTCTTGTTTAATATTTGTCTCTATGCTAATGTGGTTTGAAAACAAAGTTCCCTAAAGCCGGATGAGAAGAGAGGAAAGAAAAAAATGCTTTAGCCAAAGTAAATGAGAGAAAGAATTTAAGCAATTTAATTTTTACTCATTTTACAGACCTTTTCAGATTTAATCTGCACAGCCATTAGGGATTTAACGAGGATCCGATGTTTAACTTGTTTGCCCATTTGACTTAAGACAAATCCAGCTGACAACAACAAAGCACTTTCTTTGTCCTAACCAGCACTTAATTTAAAGGGGACATGTTTACAAACAGCTTAATCTGTTTAGTATAAACACTCTTCTACATTCTTTTACCCTGTCAAAAAACTTGGAGAAATCACATGATCCCATCCCAAAGGCCAAAGCTGGACTTTTGGGCAACTTGATATGAACAATATTCCTTGGTGGTATAAATACACACTCAGCCACCAATGTTTCTGGTCTTTAAATATGCTTTTAAAAATTAGCAATAGAGAAGAACCCTTTCTTGTAGTGCTTTTATTACATATATCAATTTGCAAAAAATAGGAAGCATTTAAAATAATGACATTTGATGAACTTATGTTACCAGTAACATCCTACATTAACAATGCCTCACCATTCACAGGAAAGTTATTGAGGGAACAGCCTTATCTCTGTAGCAGTATAGTCACTTTGTACAAAATGTTCTTGCCCTTTTCAATCTGGGGTTTTCTCTGACCACAGCAAACAGGCTATTTTCTTCCAGGCAATGACCACCAGACATTCACCATTCCAGGAAATATAATACAAGTGCTATGGGGAATGGTGAATCTGTATCCATTACAATGGATACAAATCCATTTAATTGGATTCTATATTTTCTTCACCTTTTATCTCCTCCTGTAAACCAAGTTATCAGTTTATTATTATAATATATTGTGTTCTAGAAAGATGACACAGAACTGACACACAGAAGATCCAGATACTAGCATTAATTCTGTATGGTGACCTTGAGAAAGTCATTCAAGACCCAGTCCAGCAAGATATTTAACCATGTGGCTCACTTCAACCATATGAGCCATCATTACTTATGTACTGAAAGCTAGGCAGGTGTTTCAGTATTTTATTGGATAACAGTCATAACTGCCCTTTGCATTGTAGTTTCACAGCATGTAAAATGAGAGCAGGAATACTTACTCACCAATGTAAAACACATTGAGATATTCAGATGAAAAACACTAAGTGCAAAGTGTTGTTGCTGTATCCTCCCCAACCTCTATGCAGCAAGGCCAAAATGTGAGCGTGACAGGGTTTGCTCACTGATGTACAAGCCTTCATGGGCTATGCAGAAAATGCTGCCGCTAGTTCATAATCCTCCTTCCCATCAGCTTCCGTATTTTAGTTCAGAATATCTATCTGCACCATCTTCAAAAGCAAACAGAAGGAAAGAAATTATTTAAACTTTGGAAAGTATATTCAAGATGGTTTTAATGGATGATTATGTAAGAGATATTGTATTTCACTCAACAAGCTGGTTTTCTCTAGTAGTCAGACAGCTATTAATATAATACTACAACAATCAACTAATCTAGTGCTTTTCATACGAAGATTTTAAAATGAATGAAACCTTAAATGTTTTCAGAGAAATTTCCATACCAAGAACATAAGTAAACTTTATTATGGAAATGTTAAAATTATAGTTATTACATGGCTTGGTAGAGTTGGTACAGGACCCATCGCATTGTAGCTACATGGGCACATAGGTTCTTGTATACTGATGCAATCTGAGACAGGAAGAGTTAATCATGCAGCCAATTTTAGCCTGGGGTAAAATGTTTAGAAATTTTCCACACAACACCATGGAAAGAAGAGAAAGGACTCCTATGCATGGTAGCCAAGTTGAGGCAAAGATGCAAGATTTTAAGGAATTTAGTCAATAGCTTTAGCATAGGGTATACAATTGTGGAGGTAGGGACTATACAAAGGCCTTAGCACTCTTCAAAATTCTGTTATTGGGAGGACGGGAGTAGGGCCCAGTCTGATCTGCCAATCTTAGGACCTAGTTGAAATTGTGATTTTGCATTTCTTCTGAATGGTGATTTTGATGAAAAATGTGATTTACAACAAAATGACTCAATATGGCTGCTCGCTGAGTAGATCCCCAGCAAGTGGCCATATCATGGCATTTTGTTGCAACAAGATGACTGCTGCAGGCTGGGGAAAGCAATGCATTCCCCAGTCAGAAGCAAAAGCCTAGCAGCCCAGGGGAAGGGAAAAAGGGGTTACAAAAGGGACAGGGGAAGGAGAGAGCTTGGGGCTTGGTAGGGGAGAGGCTGTTTGCTCCTCTAGGTGGGAAAACTAGGGTGCAGAGGGGGCGCCTGGTGGCTGCCTTGGCAGATGGCTCTGGTACCAGGTAAGGGAAGGGCCGTTTTGCTCCTCCAAGCACAAGAAGGAGCAAACAGCCCCTGCCCTACCCGGTGCCAGGTCCATCTGCCAAAGCAGCCCTCAAGTGCCCCCAACCCCCCCACACCCCAGTTTTCCCACACAGAGGAACAAATAGCCCTCCCCTCCCCAGCACCAGGGCTTTCTGCCTAAGGCAGCCAGCAGGGATAGCAGCAGTAGCCTGACCACGTGGACAGACTGAGTGCAGGAAGCCAGCACACACACATGGGTTTTTCAGCAGCAAGCAGAAGGCTGAGGCTGCTGCGGCTGCAGTTAAATCCGGCCTTACACCTGCCCCCTCAAACAATCATGGAGCATGGGTGGGGGGGTGCCACAAAGCAGGCGTGAAAATGGTGGCCCCCCATCACAATCGGGCCATGATATTGGCAAGCTGGACCCGCAATTTAAGCCAGGCCCTACTTATGGTCAAATAATGAATCAGGAGTAGAATCTGAAATAAAAAAAATATATATGCAAAAACTTCAAAATGGTTTACAGAAGGAAAACAAAAAACACCTGACTATTGCCTTCAACAATCCTGGAAAACTGTGGTTCCCATACCTAAATTCTTACTCATATTGTATACCACAGTCCCACAAAGTAGGTGTCATACATGTTAATATCATGTCAACATAGATTTTTGCTTTCAGCAGGAATGGTTAGATTTTACTGCATGGCTTCCATAAAAATCAAATTGCATACAACCCTATAAAATCAAGTCAATCTTTAATTATAATCATAAAAATTATATTACAATAAGTGGTATTTTCAAGTTAATGGAACCATAAAAAACACTACAAAAAGGCAGCTTTTGTTAGCCTAATAACACTACTTCACTTGAAAAAACCCCCCAAAAAACCAACAGTCCTTGGCCACAGAAATAGAGGTCCACATTTTTAGTAGTGTGTTAACCTAGATTCTAAATATTCCCTCTAAATAAATGGATTTATATTACAAGATCTCTAGAGCAGGAGCCATTTTTTTTGTTTTAAATTTGTACATTACCTAGCATAATGGGTCCTTGGTCCCTGATGAGGGTTCCAAAGTCTGACAATAATATAAGTAATAAATATTATGATGGTAAAAATTAGAATACAACTCGACTACCTATTTTGTTATTGTCATTCTGTCTATCATCGTGCAAATCTAAAGGAATACCTGGCTGTGGGCCCAGAAAGTTTATGTTTAGTTTGACCAAGTTGTTCAGACTAAAAATTCAATCCCTTGTTCAATCCCTTTTCTCCTGTGAAAGTGGAAAAGAGAAATGGGATCAAGAAGATGGGGCTTACTTCTACTCCTTGCATTTGCAGAAGGTGGAAACTTTGACCCCAGTTGGAAAAAAAATAAATATTGCATTTTTTCACATCCAGCATATTTTATCCCCCCAAAAACAAGCTTCTAGAATTTGGGGGATGCATTATAAATGGAGGAAATATAGTAACAGCAGTTTCTGCCGCTTAAGCTCCTGTTAGGCAAAAGCAAAAGTAACTCTGCATGTGAACAATAAGCAGGTTTGGCTCTCTAGCTGCTGCCCCTACTCAGTTACTTTCTACAAGGAAAGATCCTTTTTTCTACATTCTGCCTTTCAAAAACAAGGTGCATATCTTATTCTGTGGCATACTGTATATGAGAAAATATGGTAGTTCCAACAAGTAACAACAGCAGGAACATCTCCTCCTTTGAGCTGATGCCAAATATTTTTTATTTTGAATTTACTAGTGAATCAACCAACTCCAAAAATTTCTTGGGATAAGGACAAGTGCAGCCAACTTTTAATGGAAGTCCTGGAGATAGAAAATTTACATTTGATTTCATTTAAGGATATTTTCAATTTTATACTAAATAAATTAATGATGAGTTTTAAGTTTTCTTCCAATTCTCTCCTACCTTTTTACATATGTAAACAGTGAGAAAGAGTTTAGGTATTCTCTGCCCTCAGAGATAGGCAGAAAAAAATGCCTCGGTATCAACCTCAGTACAGAGAAATATAAATAGTGAAATAATAAGATATGACAGACCAAACTCAATGAATGAGGCAACATTTTCAATGGGTGAAGAAATAAATCAAATATTTTCCAAATATGACTCCCCACTGCTGCTTTAGCGTGTTGAATGTCATGTAAATGAAATGGACAATCCTGAACAAAACCAAGTCCTTTTTCAATGACTGAAGATCCCTTCAGTTGAGTACGGAAAAGATAAGTAGCTCAGCAACAAATTCAGGTGAAAAGAAAATTAATTTCTGTTAAAAGTATACTTAGGGGTAAAATTCACCCCATTCACATGACCAATGCAGAATCTATATGCTGCTTAAATTTCCCTCAAACACTTTAATCTGTTTGCTCGCCCCCTATACAGGGAGGATTTTCCCACTGGAATTATACTCTAGATCAGGGCTCACCAACCTACAGCTCATGGGTCAGAGGTAGGATAGCACATGGTGGGTGGGTATTAGGACCCAGTCACAGCTGCAGCTTTTCACAGCATCTGCACTGGGAAGGTGCCCACCATCACTGTTTTTTCCCTGCAGTGGCACGGGGAGTGTCCACAACCAGCACTTTTCTCTGCAGTGGCGAGAAGCTTTGGCAACAGTGTCTTTCTCCTACTGCCATGGGGATGGGCACAGACAGTCTCCCCATGCCACAGCAGGGAAAAGTGGTGATGGTAGACACTTTCCTTCTGCAGCCACTGGGAAAGGTGGCAGCTTCAGCTGGGTCCTAGTGCCCGCCTCCTATAGACTAGCTTGCTTCTGATCTAAACTGGGGCAGTCCACCCCGCAGCCTGAAAAGGTTGCTGACCCCTGCTCTAGACTGCACCCTAACTGTCTTGTCCTAGTTTTCCTACATTCTTTATTAATATCATATCAAGAAACATATTTAAAAATGACTCGGTTTGTGCTTGAGGATACTTCTCCATAAACATCCAGAAAAACATACCACTGAAAGTTCTAGTCGCCCAAAAAATTTCCATCCACCAATAGGTGTTCTGTCAACAGACAAATACAGAGACAAAAATCAGTTTGTACAACACAGTATGCACAAATGGGCACACAAGAAAAGTTTCTCAGGAACATGCTACATGTCTTTTGGGCTCTACAGGTGCCTATACACATGCTCAGACATGTTCTAATTAGAATGTTTTGGAGCAGAGTTGATTAACTGAGTCTCCTGGAGCGTTCCAATTAGAACGCTCCAGAACGCTGCAGTCATGGGTATTCACCATCCCACATTTCAAAATGGCAACAGGGGTGCTTTAACAAAACTCATGAAATGAGCTTTATTTTAAAGCAATCTTGCAGCCATTTTGAAAATACTGAATGTATGTGATGCTGTGGCATTTTAATTATAGCAGCTTTTCGGGACCTGCTCCAACTAAAATGCTCCGCCCCCCCACTCCCCCTCCACCCCGGAGCACACATGTAGACACCCAATAATTTTGGCATGCATATAGTAGATAATGTTCATTTTGAGGTTGAAGGAATCTACATGTCTGAATGCTGGATCAGTGTTCAAAATAAATAAATAATAAATATCAAAGATCCCAAAATCTCATTACATGTAAAAGAGAACTAAACACTTGTTCTGGATGATGAGAATGTTTTTCCCCCATTACATTCAGGTTTCAACTTCAAAATGAAATGTCACTGATTCTTCAAAATCTGATTACAGAAACATTTGCTGTTGCACTTGTTAAGCATTGAGTAAACTGTGAAAATCAAAAGCCTATAATGACTACACAAGAGCTTCCATAGAGTTCCCTTGAACTCTCAGCTCAACTCCATCATATGTCTCCACATCACCTTTGCGCCCAATTTATTGTTACAACCTACTATCCACTAAACTAGGAGTGCTCAACCTCCAGCCCACAGGCAAAATCTAGCCTGCAGAGCCATGGCATCCAGCCTGCAGGGATCCCCACAGGTTGGAAAATTTAGCAGCGCATGAGCAATGGAAGCTCTCTGGCCAGATCTAGCCCTGCCTGAG